CAGCAACAGTGCCCTATGAAGCGCCACAGCAAGGATGTCCTCGAGATAGCAAGGAGGCTGGTTCAAATAGTATTCTACGCTTTTCAAGAAGAAGACGAACAACGAATTGAATGCTAGAAGTACTGGGCTCCTCATGGTGCAAAAAAAATTCTGTGATGACGGATCAAATAAAGTGATGAAAATTGTACTTTAGGAGTTGGGAGCACTACGGAATTTACGAACAGACTTTATTCCACTTCTTTATAGGTGTTAGTCTTCAATCCTTAAGGGAACACGTGTATCAACTATGACAAACGAGTGTTTTGAAGGGCCTTTCTCGCTGATTACAAGCTCCTCTCAGTATTCGAAAATCATTTGAGGCTTTAAATCTCTGCAATTTCAACGATATGTCTAATTTGGAAAATGTCTTTTTATTACGTCGTAAGTGCAACAATGAAATTATGTTTCACACTTATTCACTTTATTTGATCGGCTGGGCCTTCAATGTAACTCTTCACAAAAGTTTTACTGGTCTTTATTAGATAGACAATAACTTGCGAATTTTGATAATGCAATTGGTATTTTAGAGATTATTATAGAACGCTGTATGGGCGTAAAGAAGATTACAGTTTAGCCCTGAAATATTACCTCGCCTCTTGGGCGTCATAGGTGATTTATTGGTGATTGCAAGTGGAGTTTATACGTCACAGGTATCTTATCGCAAATTATAGCAGTTATTCGGCCGGAGAACTGCTATTTTCCCATCTCTTGTCTTGACTATTGATATATCTCATAGATAATTAGTATGGTTATTTTTTGAGCAGTGAGTCATACCAGCTGGTTCGTGTTTTTCAAACAAGGTGGCCGATGTATTCGCGCAAAAATTGACAACTTCTATTTCCCACATCAGCCGGCCGTGTGTTCGCGCGACACAAAGGCTCGTGCAGCCTTTCATTTGGGAGCCCAAGAAGTGCTTCCCATAGAATCTGGCCAGTGTTGTGCTCGAGAGTTATTCAGATGCCACCGGAAAGCGAAATCTTGGAAAAGAGTCACGCACACAACATTTCCATCCGCCTACTTCCCTTTACTTAAATCAGGCTGGTAATAACTTCCTGTAGATTATGTCGCTGAACATTGCCTACGTGTATAGCCATTGTTTCACACATTGTATGGCTCCTCTCATGCATCTAGAGATCTGGAGTTCCGGGCAACTTACAAATAGGCTCACATCTATTGCATCATCATGTGCCGTTGACATTGCGTTACATATCATGATTGTTGCCTCCTCAATTGCAGTTATGTTGCAATTGTTATATGTTTTTGATCGTGCGCAGCCGATGATCGGATGAACCCAGTGACTGTCAAAAATACGAGAAAATATTTTTACAAAACATAAATTTATAAATCTGCTCTATCTACAATCATTAGTGATTTTTGGCGATTTTTTGTTTCGAAAATTGGCGATATTTGTTAGGGGATGAGCTCTCTTTTTCGAGCGTAGCGATGATACAGGTGATCCGGTGATCCGAAAAGGCCAGTGAACATTTCAATTACGAGAAGATGGTGTTACAAAACACTAATCTATAGATCCGCTTTATTTAGATTCATTACTGACTTTTCTTGATTTTTTGTTCAGCAAATTGACGGTAATTTTAGGAAATGAACACTTATTATCGACAAAGCGATGACAAGGGAATTGCAGGAAACTAGTGAATATTTCATATACGAGAATATAGAGTTACAAAACATAAAATCAAATCTGCCTCATTGATCGGTGATTTTTAGAGATTTTTTCTCTCGAATATTGACAATATTTGCTAGGGGATGAACCATCTTGATCGAGCATAGCAATGATAGAGGTGATTGGAAGAAGCTAGTGAATGTCTCAAATATGAGAAAATAGTGTCACAAAGCATAAATTCATGAATCTGCATCATTTAGATTGATTAATGACTTATCGTGATTTTTTGTTCCGTATATTATTGACGATATTTGGTAAGGGATGAACCCTCTTTATCGTGCATAACGATGGTAGAGATAATGTAGCAATAGATCCGTAGATCCGTTGCCACTGTTCTAAGAATTTGGGTAGGCGATCCGACGGACTGGTCTTGACGTGCTCTATCGCAGCAGGATCTTCAAAGGACGCAGTCGCGACCGCGCCGCCAAATCATCAAAACGGCAGCTAGTTTCGTAACTTGTTGACTCCGTGAGCGCTCGTCTTCGTCGCTCTTCCATTGTGATCCTATGATTCCATCACTAGTAGTTTCCTTTCTGTTCTTATCATTCTTTATCACTTCCGAAGCTCAACACATTGTGAGCAGAGCTCTTGGCAACGCTGCGGGCCCAACTCATGAGTTCTGTTTAACGCGCCATCGGGGCATGGGTTCCAGTCCTATTCACATCTACTTTCCGAGAATCATGTGAACGTATATAATCACCCACTGGTTTCTTTGATGCTATATTCTCCTCGGTTCTGCTGTGTTCTTCTCCGGCGCAACCATAACGCATTACCGGGCTCGCCACATAGTCAAGCCCCGTAGCTCATCGCTCGATGCATCGATTCGCATCTAACAGTCTCCACTCATATGTCGTCATGATATCATTATTTGTATAACACCACTGTGATGAGTATATGCATTTCAGGTTGCTGTCTATCTCAAATACATCATTGTTGTCTGGTACACCTATATTGTTATATATGGAGTAATTCCATCATTCACCTCGCTGTTCTAATTCACACCGATAAACTAATCTCGAATTCGCAGCTAAGCAATCAGTCAATCGCACGCAAAGTCCTTCCTCACCAAGAGGTGGGACGATCGGAGGTACTCAGCAGAAAACCTCCTTCTCCATCAAACAGGAACACAGGAAATCTTTCATTCGGGCTATACAGGCTCATGGCTCATGGCTCAATGGGTCAACATGTTTATATCCTTATCAGATTACTGGTGTCTGAGCAAGGTTCATAAAAAAGCGGTCGAATAGGGAAGTATGATTCATTTCAAAAGCTACAAGCTCTGCTGCCGGTCACAAACGATGTCAGGCCATTCCATCATCTGACTTTCGGAAATTTATTGCCCGACGTCGATTCATTCTTAAAGGAGCATAGCCTCAAGGATCGGTTGAACCGAGGACGGTGCTACTGATGAATCCAGGTAAGACGCAACAGGCGCCTGTATAGCGCTTAGACTCTAGTAGGTCAAAACATGTTAAGTCCTTGTGATAACTATTGTTTAAGCAAGGTCGATGAAAAAGCGGTCGAATATAGAAATCTCATTGAGACAGTTTGAATGTTCTTTGAGTGTATTACGAATACTTGCTTACAGCATTTATTGCAAAGCCTCTATGAGTTGACAAGCTTGAAAATGAGGCGTATGAGGAAGATTAATCAACTGAAAAAGAAATGGCCTGAAGAAATCAGAAATAGGCGACTCCGAGATATTCTAAAAGACGTTGAGAAGTGTACTGCTATTGAACAGAAGGGTGTTGGCGATCAGTTCAAATTGCAGCCTGGCCAGTAAGTCTTAGGCACATTAATACTTTGAATTCGTACCCTATCTTAATTGTCATTAATACCTCTCAAATATTTCCACCATTTAGATGGGAATGTTCTGAGTTTTGCGTTTGGAGTGATGCTGAGAAATGTTCCTGTTGTGGTACGAGGAGAAGCACTAGGAAAATAGGTAATGCAACACTGAAGTATCTACACAATATTTATACCAAAGTGATAAATGCGTCATATCTGTAAAAAAATATAGTACTAGTAATTTTTTAATTATTTTTAACTTTATTTGACCCTCAATTCATAATGTATTTTTTCACTGTGCGGATACCAGTTATTCTAGCATTTAATACGTTGTTTCGTCTTCTTCCTTAACGTCGTAGAATACTGGTTGAGCGAGTCTTCTTGCAATATCGAGAATAGCAAGGCTGTGGCCGTTCTAAAGGGCGCTGTTGTTAACTGCCGGAGAGAGTTGAGGGTGGAGCTCGGTTCCACGCGCACCGTGACGAGTATCACAACCACTCGGCCATGACGTCCGTTACCAGTGATTCATATGTTAGATGTGAAGAAATTGAGTAGCAAAGTGATTCATGTGTCATATCTGTAAAAATTTAGGTATTAAAGCGTTTTATGTGTCAGATCTCAAGAAATTAAGTGCCATAGTAATTCATGCGTTAGATCTGGAGAAATTAAGTACCAAAGTGATTCTTGTGTTAGATGTGAAGAAATTAAGTACCAAAATGATCCATGTGTCATATGTGTCAAATTCTATGTACTAAAGCGTTTTCATGTGTCAGGTCTTAAGAATTAAGTACTGTAGTAATTCATGTGTTAGATCTGATGAAATCAAGTATCAAAGTGATTCTTGTGTTAGATGTGAAGAATTAAGTACGAAAATGATCCATGTGTCATATCTGCAAAAACTTAGGTAATAAAGCATTTCATGTGTCAGGTCTTAAATAATTGAGTACCATAGTAATTTATGTGTTGGATCTAAAGACATTAAGTACCAAAATGACTCATGTGTTATTTCTGTAAGAAATAAGGTACTAAAGCGTTTCTTGTGTCAGTTCTTTGAGAAATAAAGAACCGAAATGATTTATGATGTGGGACCATGGAACATCTTACAAACAAACTCGCGATATAATACATCGATTCAGTCACTTCGACATGTGCTTATTTAGGAGAATGATCATTGATCTAAGCACTTGTCTTTTTGAATATGTTTTAATGTACACAAACTCCCTATACGGCGCGTTCGGTGTTTAACTTTGTACGATGCAACAATCAGGATTGTCTAAGAAATGCAGTTTTCTCTGGTTAACAGTTGCCTATTACGGCTCTTTTATCGACACATTTCATGCGATAGTTGTGACTTAATAAACTGAATAGACGAAGATTAAAGTCGACAACTAATCAAATTACTCGCCAACAGAATTCTTTTTATTTAAGCCGCCTTTGGCGGTGTATGATGTTATAGATATACCCGACGATGTCGATACATGCCGATGACTTTTGCGCCAGGTGGGACTCGAACCCGCACTTCACACTATCCGAGGGGTGTGAGTTAACCCGTTGCACCACTGACGCCTGTTTTGTCACCATTCTTCCTCTTCCGGATAGCATGAAATGCGGGATTGAGCCACACCTGAAAGAAATGTCATGCATCACACAATAGTTGTCAGTGTGACTGGGTTTAATTTAGATACCGACTAGGTAGGCCAAATCGTTGACGGTTGGATTCTAACATAGATGCCTTGTAGCTAGAAAGAGTGTTGGCAAAATGGTCGTCAGTAGTGCAGCGAGCTAGAGCACCAACCTCGGATTGGGTGAAGTGCGGGTTCGAGTCCCGGTGACGTGAAGTTTTTGTATATCACTCAACATTATTGGGTACATCTGCTTGCCAATATTGCATTTCAGAAGAAGAGATCTGATATTTCCAAGCGCAGAACAATGCTTTTTCCGGCCAGCACCCACCACAAATGCTCTGGGTAAGATATCGATTCAATATAATAAATAAGATGATCAATATAGAGGTGGAGCTATAGCAGGAGCACAGGCTTCATTGTTAACTTCAACATCTTATTTTTATCCACGGGTCTCCATCATTAAGGGAACGTTGCCCGATTAGTGGCGAAGGCATGTGACGTTTTCCCACATAGGAGAAATAAACATCAACCAAAAGCTAATATGTGCATACTGTAGACTTAACCAGGTTTAGGAATTGAACTTTATGCTCTTGTGTGCCAATTTGACATATTTTATTACTATAAGTCAAATTGGTGAGAAGTCTGAAATCAAGTGATTGGGAATTATATGGGAGATTTCAGAGCCACTTGCGACAAATGATTTCTTTATTGCTATTCCGGAAGAGTGATGAAAGCTACCCCTAGTTGTCAATAGCTCGCGTTCAGAGTCCAAAGAAGCTATATATTAGTTACGTAATACTGAACGATTAGAAAAGCGGCTTCATTTCTTCGACTCCAAAAGAGTTCCCAGTGAGGCAGCGTGGGAATGTGCGAGAACGGAGAGGGCGCTAAATCTCGTGAACAAAATATATGGCCGAAATCCCAATAGACAAAGTGACGATCTGTTCCAATAACACGCGTACACTGCACGCCAATCCTCCATATAAGATCATATAAAGCAGGCAAAAAGGATAAGATGCGACGTCGTCGGTTTCTCTGTGGTAAGGCGGTACTACTGACTTCACTGTCTGTTACACCAGAAAAAAACTGTTTTCAGGGACATGTGATCGTAGAGTTCCTAACGGTGTTGCGTTCTCGTAAATCGAGCTTGACCGTAAGCATCAATCCATTCAAACAACTTTCGACACGGATCGCGTGGCTGTGACTGAAACGATGCGAATCAATTCCCACCTTGACAGTCTTCGTTGCTCATGCACCAATATCAAGCTGTGACAGAAAGGAAGCCGAAGCACTTTGAAGTACTATTGATGGGGCTTATTTTGTTATGCACTCTCCTTAGAGACACTTGCTTCCGGGTTGAAGAGCTGTGAAGGTCAAGTGATATTTTATCATAGTCGCCTTGAGACACTCAGGCAGTCCTCTACCCAGCTCGTTCTGTTTTGCTCCGTGAAATTCATGTGATGTACTTTAGGAGTTCTTTTGAATTCAATTTTTGCATTAAGTTCTTCAGTGGTGATGTTGGAACTACTAACTTTTCCTTGAAATTTCTTCATGCCCATATTGAACTCTTCTATCTCGTCTTCTCTCAACTTGATGGCGACTGGTAAACAACGAAGTCGGTCATAGCCGTTATCGACTCAAATTTTTTCAAAAGCAGACAATCTCGGTGCTGCTAGCTGTGTGAATAAATCAAGCGATTCTATGGTAAAATTCAAGTTGATGAAGATACCAAAGATACCAAAATTTCTACTTTTACAAGTTCTGAAAACCACCTCTTTTTCGGTGTCATAGACTCTATCAAATGAAAGGCATTTCTTTTATCTCAGTGAATCCCGCGATATCGTACTTTGTCCCTTTAGCCTACATGCAGATACCAATAAACGTGCATTATAGGCACAGATCTTCACCTTGATCTTTCAAGTTTTAGGCAGCCTAGAACTGCTTTGAGAGTTTAGCAACCTCTCCATTCTCTTCCTACTCAGCGCTGTAGTATCTTGAGAGAAAAGGAATAATGTGGGCCACTTATTCTACTGCTTAGTGTACGATACACCACGCAATAAATTTTGAGCTCTGAGCATAACGGGTGGTTACCTGATGAAAAAGCCAGTTTCCATCAGCGTGTACAAGTGGAGCTTACATGATACAGGTAACTCTTGAGCTACTTCGATTCGCTTTAGTTATTTTATTGCAAGATGTTGGCCTAATTGGGTTGTAGAATATAATCCGCATAAACGCGAACACATGCAAGCACGTATACATTAAGATAGACACACAAGGTATGTGCCTAGTAAGTGCAGCAGAAGCAGTAAATGTATATCCTAACTATTCATGTCTCAGAGAAGCACAGAGTGACCCTGAGTTTTTCAAGTCAGACAGAGTCCCTCTTTGTGTAGCAATTCCCTCACGGCTTCGTTGCTACTTTTCAATCTTTCGGTCCATGGCTACCATATAGATACGTTTGATCTAGTTAATAATACGAATGAGCGGACTAGATCCTTTCAGTCGTATTAAGAAAAGACGCTTAATGATAGTGGTCAGTTGTAGATCATAGTCGTAGACATTGTTGTACTATCAGCACCGAGTGCTGAATTATTATCGAGTTGCGGTTTATGCTAGAGTGGAGTGGAGGCGTGCACCATGCCGAAGCTTCGCAATGAATTATGTGTGACCCGCCACTGAGGGCAAAGCATCCAGACCCTTATTCAATCATCATCCTTATTTGTATAAGTCCCCATGGCCCTCAAGCACATTGAGCTCATTGAATGCTCTCCTCGATGTAACCTTTACGGGAATTGCATGAACTCCGCGCTGCGCAGCGTGGTCATGCCGCACGGCCTCTGCAACAGTATGCGGTACTTACTAATTTTGCAAATGATGACTCAGCTCTGCCGGTGAAGCCTTCACGTCTCTCCGTCATTCTTGCTGTGGTTCTCACTGCGTGCAATTGCCAGCTTGTTGAGATCTCACTCCTATTACGTACTTGTTATTCTATCATCCTGTTTCATCCATCGTTCATTATTACACAGAACTGCCACTTTTGCTTCACTTCACTTAGGGTCTTACCCATTCTCAGTTGTGAATTTATCTTTCACTCCTATTGCGTGATCGCCATATAGCATCACGTTATAGCTGTGACGTATTATGGTTTAATATTGTTATTATAAAGTTTGGGGCGCCCTGGTTGTGATGCTCGTCGCGGCTCGCGGGGAACCGCGCTCCATCCCCGCGACCCTCTTCGGCAGTCAAAACAAAAACGCTCTATGGAACGCCGCAGCCAGTTATCCTCGAGATTGCAAGGAGACATGTTCGACCAGTATTCCACGTCACTCAAGAAGAAGAAATAAAAACTAATCGAATGCTAGATGTACTGGTATCCGCACAATAAGAATTGCGATAACGAGTCGTGTAAATAAATAAATTCAAATAAATGAATAGTATACCTTTATTTCGAGTGTTCTCTTAGATCACACTCAAATTTCAATAGATCTCTTCATTATTATTTGAGCCAACATGTCATTTGGTCTGGTAAGGGCTCTTGTACAGCCCGATACACGTGTTTCGACCGTACAGTCTTGTCAGTCGGGCAGAACCCGTCGTCTTTCAATCTTTTTGTTAGCCAATCCTCTCGGCAGCCTGCTCTCCCTGCAGAGAGGTCAAAGACGAACGATTTACACTGTATGTCAAGTAAACATATCATCGAAGTTATAGTGTTTTACACTCAATTGCTCTTTGGCTGGTATTTTCACAAGATTATACATTTATTTCGTAAATAAATAGTATTATTATGTTTATATTCTTGGGTTGTTTGTTTGGGCAAACTCACTAATCGTTTTACAGAATATCCATTATCCCTTGTTCTTTATAAGATGATAATGGGTGAAAACGGTTGAACTTTTGATGTTGATCAGTCTTTGAAGGACGCTCCATGCATGTGTCTTCACCTCGTATCGCTGAGGTGATGCAATCCATGCAAATGTGGCTATACAATGACGTGTGGTGACCTACTGATGTAACAAGTTAGTGCTGCTATTCTACTAGCAGTTGTGGTACCAATTCACCGACCTCGGGTAAATGCAAGTTTTGGTGAGCTTTGAGCATGGATTTCAACCATCGTCCATCGATTGATCTATCATGCATGTTGCAGAGCATCTCTCATCATTGAGCTATGCATTCTCTCAATACAAGATCTCTGTTTATATCTAAAAAAGCTTTGTGACATCACATTTAAATGGCGATAATGTGCCTTCAGAAGCTCAAGGTGTCAAGTAGATCCCCATATTATGCATTACATACTGCCTTCCTCTGCGCGGCATTCGGTGGCAGAACAATAGACCACGCGATCTCTCAAGGGTCTAAACTGCGGCATAATGATGGGAAGACATTACTAAAATGTTTGAAAATGAGTATAAAAATTCCCAAATGGCCAGAAAAATTTTGATTCAACAAGAATTCGTGCCCTGAACCTTCGCTTTCGGAGACCGGCACCCTATTCAATGAACTATAGAGCCTCACATGACGTGAAATGTGACAAAATAGTAATAATGTATATAGGTATGTTTTGAAACAAGAAAAATAATTTTGTCAAATGCCGCGAAGTTTCAACCTATCAATCACTTGGATCTTGATTCCTGTGCTCGGCGGATTAGCGCTTGTTCCTTTAGGCCCCAGGGCCTGCAAGCGTTTCGATACAGCGCCTCACCATTGAAATGACACTGGTGATATGTTTGTAAACCGAAGAAACTTTTACAAAAATTGAAAAATTTGCGACCCAGCAAGGACTCGAACCTTGAATCTTCGGTTTAGGAGACCGACGCCTTATCCATTAGGCCACGGGGCCTTGGGAAAGTGTCGCATTTGGTGAATTGATACTGTTATAATGTTATCAAAGTGGAGTAGAGGTTTTTGAAAATAAGCAAGATTTCCGACCCAGCATGGACATAA